GATAAAGGCTTTTTCAGACATGACATATTTGTACATGTGTACATCACTGTAACATGTTTTATTCATGACCATTTGAGCTGGTTTCAGTCCCTAGCTCTTTCATTTTCATCCTATTTAATATATATTTATCTTGCTTGTTAAAAAATACCATTTTGTTTGTTAAACTATTATTTTTATGCAACAATCAACTTGCATGTTACAGTTTTTCTCAGTGGCTTTGGTGCATTACTCACAGCACTAATTACATTTGCACAACAGGTAATGCATTTTTCAAAACAATTTGTCATTTTTGCACATCCTAGTAGCAGTTTCTCATTCCTTTCAACAAATTGCAAATGCTTTTGGACATGCATTAATTGCTTTCATACAACTCTCTGCTATTTATAACATTATCATTTGCTTATGTCATGTCAGTCAAAATGAACTAAACTTGTAAATGCTGAATAGTCATTCCATATAAAACTTATGGTACTTATTTTATTACTTGAGTCATTACATACAAAAAATGTTGAACTAGTTGTCAAAATCTTGCAAGCTAATTTTATATAAAAAAATGTTTAAATCTTTATTTTACTGAAAATGTCTTCAGTTTCATGAATGATTTACAGACCTGTGTATGTATGTTGGTTCAGTTCCAATATGCTCTGCAATATTGTTTACAGTTGTGCACAGCTCTACCTAAAGGGAGTTTATGTTTGTTGTAAATAAGGGTGTATTTATTCTTCTGCACAATGCTGTGAAAAAAATCAAATTGTAAAGAGCAAATGCAGAAAAAATGTGAAACACACATATTCAGTGTCTTGTACTCAGATACCTTATAAATGCAGTGATGTCTAACTTTACTGTAGTTTTCAATTGGCTGTGCTAATAGTATATAGTACTATCTTTAGATTTTTTTTAGGAAGTGTCACCAAAATCTGACTTTTTAGCATTGAAAAAATGTACAGAGTAAACTGTCATGATAAAAACATGACTAAGCCATTTGACTATCTTGTTCATAGACAGTGGTGTCAGGACCTTTCATTTTGATGATACTGACACTTTGATTGACATCAATACTTGGTTTTGAGGAATGAACTATCCATTTTTAGCATGTGACACACTTTTGCAGGTTATCAGCTAGGTTTTGCAGTTTGTACTAACTGTTTTGAGAAATGCATTAACTGTTGTGCAGAAATGCACTGGTGTTGTGAGAAACGCACCAAAGCGACTGAGAAAAACTGTAATTTGCTATGAAGAAAAGGAAATAATTTTTTGCATGCTAATTTATGTGAAATCGTGAATATAGGTCTATAATCACCTTGCAATTTTGAAGTTATAGCTTTTTTGCTTTGTGTATAGGCTCAGTTCATATGAACAGTTCAATCTTTTATGAAGTTTGCTGTATAAAAATTTAACAATTTAAAATATTTATGATTATCGGCCTATACATATCGGCTATCGGCCTCCAAGTCTGAAGAATTATCGGTTATTGGTATCGGCCAAAAAATCCATATCGGTGCATCCCTAGTCATAACTGCAATATTTACACTCCTCCATAAAATGTATAGCAGATGTGACTGTATGGGTTGCTTTTCGCTGTACTTCGTGACAAAAAAGGAATATTGAATGTTGCTCTGTGTCCATGATGATGAATCTTGCAGGCATTTAATAGACTTGTTCCTCCTCATGCCTCATTTCTGTCGTTTGTTAAGGTAAGCAGGCTCTGTACCCGCGAGCGATACACTTATTTAAATATGTCTTATGATAATACTATGAAGGCACATACACACAGCTTTAAAACTTTTAGAACAACTGCAAAGCAAAACAGATGTATTTTCCACGTAAAAACGATCCAAAAGGCACATAGGTCTATGTGTTTTTGCGTATTTATTTGTTTATAATATATACCGCGGATTATAATAAACAGGGAGATTGACTCTTTGTCATGGACATTAATTCTAAAAATAAGCTAGAAAAGTTGTCTGTAGCAGGGTGGTGCTGACGTCACAGACGAGCGCCCCAAGGGCACTGTAGTCTGTTTATAGCCTAAGGTTAGTACCATTTACAGAGAAGCACAGCGGAGCGGGTGTATGTTTAAACAGACAAATACACTGAATAATATGTAAAAATCTCCATCCTGCATGTTTTATTTTAAACAGCTAATTTTCTCTTAAATGAGCACAAACAGATTCTAAACTAATGGAATGCTTCATTATAGATCTGTGCATTCTTACAGAGACACCTCTGTTATCAAACAAAACAAAACATGAGATTAATTTGCTGCTCACTTGTTTGATAACAGAGGTGTCACTTTAAATGGTACGTACAGAAGCTGATCTGGGATCCGTTTATTGTACAGATCGCGTCTGTCAGTCAGCGCTTATACATGCATTCACTGGTTCAGAGGTTGCATATAAAAGGCGACGATCGACGCACAGATTTAATGTAAAGAAAGCTGGATAGAATGGTAAAATATGGGAGAATTTCGCCAAAAACGGGAGGGTTTACATGAGAGAAGTGAACAGGAAGTGTTTGTGGAGAAACAGTTTTGCGAGAGAACGCAAAACATCTTTGCGAGGGAATGCAAAACATCTTTGCGAGATGACGCAAAACTTTGCGAGGGAACGCAAAACAGTTTTGCGAGAGAACGCAAAACATCTTTGCGAGGGAATGCAAAACATCTTTGCGAGATGACGCAAAACTTTGCGAGGGAACGCAAAACATTTTTGCGAGAGAAGGCAAAACTTTGAGATAGAACGCAAAAACTTAGAAATATATATTTTTCTCCCACCCATTTTTGTGGTTTACCCGGCCAATTTTTTTCTCCTCCACTACATCCCTTTCGGGGTTCCATACAAAAGTACTCAAAGTTGTATTTTCGTGTGACGATTATCCGGCTGGACAAAACGTGTCAGTGTAATGAACAGTGTTTGAACACAGATTTTACTATTTGCAATGTTCGAAAACTCTATGGGAAAATCCTATCCGCTTGTTAAGTGTGACGTCACGCGAATCGGCTTCCGGTTCCAAGCTCTCTATTCAACTGCATAGGGAGGTAATTATAAACGTTTACAAAGCGATTTAATACTTCCGAAAATCACGATTGCAATATATATGTCCATGCCTAATATCCAATGGCCAGAGAGTGATTACATTTTTTACAAATTGTTAAAATGTTGGTATTTGATATGCAGCAAACCCGGAGATTGTACACTATGACTTTATATAAAGTTAACTTTGATGTTTGTTTTGAATAAAAAAAAATAAACTAATAAGATCTCAACTCAAATGAGTGGTGGTTTGGACCCGGAAACAGTATTACAAACGTCACCAAAATGTCACCACTTAACAAGCGGATTGGGATTAGACTCGTTTGAGATGGCCAAAATCTGCGCAGAACTGATCACCGGTGATCACCGCAGGATGCATGCCGGTTAGAAATGTGTCCGCCTTGCCTTCGCCTTGTGGTTAAATATTGTTTTTATTGTTAATAAACACAAAAGTACACAAAAGTAGACATTCTTGCTGAGTGTTTTATATGTTAAATATGTTAACAGTTATGTGAATTTCATAATGGTATTTCTCCTGCTAAAAATATTACAAAAGACCCAGAAAACCCTCTTCCCAGTGGTGTCACTTCACTTCTGCCTTTTAGAAATGCAGTGATTTTAGTTCTGATATTTTAATGGTTTATTATTTTGCTTCAAAATGAAAACGCATATTGCATAATTACAACAAGTAAAGGTAGAGTCTGAAAAAAAAGCAGTGTTTTTAATTCAATTTAATGTTTTCCCTTTAAATGGGAGAGTTCTCTGGAAAATTTACAGCTGAAAATATTAACATTACACTTTGATTTAAGGCTATTAAAAATATTGGGCAGGTGTCCAAATGTTTACTCACTGCTTTGAGTTTGAAAATGATTTATTTATTAAGAGCAGAGATAAGCTCTTATTTATCAAGGGAAGAATATGTTTGTAACCTTTTCACTTATTAAATCATATTATTTTATCATATAATGGATTTATTTTTACGTTGATGCTGCTATGAATATAAATGTATATTATCTGTTGTATGTAAATGTTTCAGCACGAGTAAAATTCTACATAAATTTTTTTCATATTACCTGGTATCTCATCTATGAATGCAATCAGTTTCAACATTCATTATTTACTGATACATTAAAGTTTTGTTAAGTTTCTCCATTTTAATGAAGACTCTGCTGGATTTTTTTTCAATCGTTACATTATAAAAGCTATTCTTTTTGTGATTATCATTCACAGACAATCTCAAAAAAAAAAAAAAAAAAAAAACTTCTGTGTGACCTCAGAGAACCCAATGAACAGCACTTCAATAGTATTATTATTGGGGGCGACACGGTGGTGCAGAAGGTAGTGCTGTCGCCTCACAGCAAGAAGGTCGCTGGTTTTAGCCTCGGCTGGGTCATTTGGCATTTCTGTGTGGAGTTTGCATGTTCTCCCCACGTTCACGTGGGTTTCCTCCGGGTGCTCCAAAAACATGCGGGTTAAGTAAATTGGGCAAGCTAAATTATCCGTAATGTATGAGTATGAATGAATATGTATGGATGCTTCCTAGCGATGGGTTGGAGCTGAAAGGGCATTCGCTGTGTAAAACATATGCTGGATAGGTTCATTCTGCTTTTTCAACCCCAGAATAATAAAGGGACTAAGCCAAAAACAAAATAATTGAATGAATGAATGAATACATTTATTGTAATTTGTAAAGCTTCGGTTACTAGAAAGAAAACTGATTAGCCATAAAGTAGCCAACACAAGGTGTAGACTCTTATTTCAGAACAATATACATCAAGAACAATTCACTTTATAATGGCTATGCCAGTTACAAAGAAAGATCCATTAAATAAATAAATAAAAAACAACACATGTAGTGCACACGCTCTATAAAGCTGCAGAATTGAATGAGGCTGTGTAAATGGCTTGAAAAAGAAAGGGAGAAAGGGGGTGGGGAATATAAATTGAGAGAGATAATACAAAATGCCTAACTCACTACAATCACCAACAGTAGAGGCTGGGAATAAAATCAAATCCTCAGTGAGAGAAACATCTTGTTTCCGTCACATTTGTTACAAACCTGGACCAGAAATCTTTGATCATGCAAGGTAAATCATAAATTTTTTCTTCTTTAGCATTTAGCTTTATAGTTAGAAAACATTTTAGGTTTGAAATTAAAATGTCAAAGTAAATGTACTTTTTTTTTCTGCAACATAGGTTTATCTTCAGTAAGCATATAGCTCTTTAGGGAATAAATGAGAAAAAGAAACGTTTGTCATATCATGCAGTAGGTTATTGATATCTATTTACTCATTTTAGTCCCTTTGGTAATGTTTTTTTTTTTTTTTGCATAAAATAATGTAAAATTATCAATTTACATGACAATAAGAACAAGATGAAATAATTTTTTTATGCACGTCCAAAACCTCCAAATTACAAAATGTTTTTTTTATTATTTATTTGTTTATATATATATTTTTTTTACATTTGCTAAAGTAGTTATGTGATTATAGAAGATAGTCATGCTTAAAGAGCATAATTATTATACTGACTGCGTAGGCTACATGGAAGAACAGTCTATACAAGTGTGTAAATAAATGAATAAAATAACATAAAATACAGGTATAAGTTCAGTTGATAAGAATCATATTATGAACTGTGTTTCTAGTGGGAGTAATTCAGAGAACTGCCTTGCTAGTGCTCTGCTGCTTGTTACTATCAGCATCATCTTCCCCAGTCTACCCAGCACTGAAGTAAGTCAGACACTATCATTTTTTATTTCTTAATTAAGGGTTTTTAAATTCAATACTTTTTTGGTGTTGTGTAAGATGTAATATTTTCTTGCAGATACACTGACCTTGTTCTAAAGTGTGAGAATAAGCCTAACGACTACTACAGCTACACATTTCAAATATCTTTTACAACACTAAAATTACTTGTATTCGATACTGTACAGAATACTTGATTCCAATTACATTATATAAATGATCCAGTGCAATTTTCTGCAGCATATTGTGTTTATTTGCAGCAAACATTTACATTATGTATAATTACAAATATACATTCAATGTCAAATTACTAATTTATCATCCAAAAATGTATTATAGAAAATAATTTTCATGGCATTCAGAATGTCTCAGAACATTGGCTGTTCTCGTTGGAATAAGATACATTCACAATGCATGACTCATTTTTACACTAATATGGTTATACACCTCTATACAGAGACATGGGTATACATTAGAGTGCAACAATTATTACCAAAGAATAAATTGAAACTGAAATTCCTGTGAGTTGCTTCTAAACATGTTCAAAATCTCTTACATCAGCCTAATCAACAGAGCCTGAGTTTTGTCAATTTTGTTTACTGGGATCAGGTTCTCATTATGAACTACTAACACTGGGCATCTCGGAGTCCACAACTATTTCACATAAGTAATTACATGGAAATTTATCACACTGAATACATTTTTATTATATTACAAATTGTTAACACATTAAAATTGAATTTTAAATGAACATAAATGAATCATAAAGATTTTTAAATAAAATTAAATCATAACCATCTCTAACATTAAAGAAGATCAAGGTGCAATAGATTGAAGAATTAAGAATTGCTTTATCTGAAAAATTTAAGTTCTTTACTGAATTCACTATAGCAAAAAAGGAAGAAATAAAAACACCATCACAGTGATATTGTATTTTCAGATGCTTAAAGTCAGAGGAAACATGTAAAACAGACCGCTAGAAAAATACACACACAGATCAGTTTTGATTGATTTTTTTTTAAGTATTGTTTATACAAACTTTTTTGGGATTTGATAAAAAAGAGGTCTTATGTGGCAGACACACCAGTCATGGCTTGCATGAATAGATTGCGCTATTTGCTCTAAATTAGATGCGTAAGCATTATGAGTTTCCTTTCTTCATTTGCACATCTAATTTGCTTGATTTCCTTCTGTCACATGTGAAATTCCCTTTACAATAGATGCAGTAGGGGCTCTCTGCCTGATAAATCCTGTTTTGTTGTTAAATGGCAAAAATATATTTTATCAAGAGAGTTTCTGTGCTTTATGTGCTTTAGGAAAGCTGAAAAACATTGTAGATTCATTCGGCGCTGTGTCTGGATCCATCAGGGGCCTGTTTCAGAAAGGAGGTTAAGTAAAAACTCAGAGTATTTTAACCCTGAAATGAGAGAAACTCTGGGTTTTCCGTTTCAAAATGGCAGGTTTGTTAAACTAGAGAAAGCGGGGTAAGTCAAGCCTGTTTCTAAAAGAGAGGTAACTTTAACTCAGAGTCAGTTACTGTGGTAACTTATTCTGTGAACCTAACCTGGTCATAAGCAGGTTTTAGTCTCTGAACTTAGAGTTTCTGTCGGTCTCCTCCCCTTTTTTAAAGACGAAGCGGTATTTCTCGCTATAGCCTTACATTTCCCACCTATTTTAATGCTTATTTTGGATATGTGCATAAAAACGATTGATAGAAACGCCATGATGCACATAACTTTTTAAAATATGCATAAAAACACACGCATAATTGAGCAGGATAAACTTTTATTCGATAGAAAATAAACACATAAACTACGATGTACACACTTTTACTGAACAAATTACAGTATGTACATTAAAAAAAGGTCATGATCATATGATGATGAAAACGTGTGTTAATGGACAATCCAGCAGGCTGAGCACACTGTATTACGTCCTAAATATTGTTTTAGTCATTCTAAAATGCCTTAACTGTTTCAGTATTAGTGTATATTATTAATTACCTCCAAGCGTCTGGGGCGTGTCAAGAGTCTCCGTGTCTCATGGCTTCAGACGCCCCCACGTGTTCGTTGTGTTTCAGCATTGTCTTCTGACATCGAGGCACAAGTACATTAATTAAATAAAGAAATAATTGACGCAGCTAATTCTACCACAGTAAATTCTGTTTTTACTTTTGATATTTGGTGCCAGTTTAATCAGGAAGTGACAATTTTTTTCTCTTTGACTCGTTAGATGGAATCTCTGCTTTATTTGCATCTTTTATGCAATATTCCAGTTTCGCACATAAAATTATGTAATATATTTGGATGGAAACATAGCTATAGCCTACATTTTAGTCACACACAGAAGAACTGTACGAGAATGGCTTGTCCTTTTTTAATAAATAATTAAATTAAATTCACCTTCGACATGTACTGTAACTAGATTAATGGGATTATTATTCTTTCTAAAAAATATTTTTAGTACTGCTTACCTTCTAAATGTTATATCAAACTCTATCACTTAATCAATAAAAAAGGCAGACACACAAGTGCACTGTTAAATCAATTAAAACGGATAAATGTGTATAAAAGTTTAGAAAAAAATTATAAACGTCATACATTACATTACTTATTTTATTATACTTAAAAAGTGAAATTAAGCATTAACTTGAGCAGCTGTTTTCCCAAGCTAACTGTCTCTGCTTCACTGATGGTTGCTTCTTTTCAAATATATATGTTCATATATTTGCTTTTACTTTGCATGAGAACATCAAGTTCAGCTGGAGAAAGAAATGGTGATCTCTTTTATAAGATATTGCCATAGTCACTCGTAATATCTGCGCTCCATTGATAATGCCTTTTTATAGTCACGGTGCGCGCGCTTAACTCTGAGTTGGTCTACTCGAAGTTGATTGACCCAACTCAGATTAGCTGTTCTGGAATTGAAAACTCAGATTTTTTATTCTCTCGGTAAATCAACTCAGAGTTCAAGTTTAAACTCTGAGTTGGTTGAACCTCAGTTCTGAAACAGGCCCCAGGTCTTTCAAAGCTTTACCCAGCTCTGTGATTTCATCAACTCCTCTAGAAGCTGTGCTTGGATGACGGACGGTTTCAGCGGTACTTCCGACTAAACCGGTCTCAGTTTGATGAGCTATTGTCCTGTGTCGGCAGGAGGATTTTCTCTCAGGACATCAACTATAGGCGCTACATCATAATTATGCCCCTACTAGAGCAAACTCCTGATTGGAAGTTCAGATTTTTCAACTGGAGAAATAAAGTGGAGGAACTATGATATCACCTTGTAGGCTAATTGGGTGCAAGTATAAAACTTGTTCCCTCTATAAAATCCCCATAGGATTTTTCCATAGGATTTTCGAAGATTGCACATAATAAGCTCTGTGTTTAAACACAGTTCATTACACTTACATGTTTTGTCCAACTGGATAATCCTAACACAAAAGTATAACTTTTATCACTTTTGAATCCTAAATGCAAATGCAATAACTGAAATAACTAACATAAGGCTATAAAATGACTACACTGACTTCAGGGCAATCGCTTGTTGTTACGTTAGCACCACCCTGCTTCAGACCACTTTTCAAGCTTATTTTTAGAAATAAGGTGTATTGGCAAAGATTTACTCTCTCGATTTACTATAATCCACACTATATATTATAAACAAATACAAATACTCAAAAAAAAACAACACATTTGTATATAAACCTTCATGCATTTTGGATAGTTTTCCCGAGGGAAATTATTTTTTTTACATTACAGTTGTTGTAAAAGTTTTAAAACACATACTTTATGTTTTTATAAATGTGCCTATGTAATATTATCATAATACATGTTTAAATTAGTATATTGTGTGTGTGTGTAAACAGCCCACTTACCTTAGTAATAGCTACAGAAATGAGGGACAAGTCTATCAAGTCTATCAGGTTTCCATCATGGACAAAGAACCACATTCAATATTTGTTTTGCCAGGAAGTACAGCGAAAAGCAGCCCATAAAGAAAAAAAAATGATGAAAAATCTTTTGATTTATGTTTATGTGAAATGTTAAAATGTTAATAAATATTTACATATTTTTACAGATTTATTCACATAATTGCCTTACTGCACTGATAATATCTTCACAAAATAGTTTTATTGAAATAAATGAAGTAAAGGCATTATCTACACACAATATAAATGCCCACTAAGAACAATTTTACAAACTAAAAATATGATTTATAAAAATACCTAACCAAATAACAGACAAATCCAAATGCCCAACGCAAGCTGTAAGCAGGCTGCTTTCTAGACCATTTCAGTTCAATAATGTGTTGACATCGCCTGTAGTCTTATTTAGCATCTTGTTTCAACCGTCTTTTTAAAGAAGCGGAACCGTTTTTAACAATCATGAGTGAGATGTAACTTGTGTGTTTTATGTCGCAGAATAAAACGTGAAGTATATTGAGATTGTTGCAGCCACAAACCTTATTTAAGTGATTTAACCAGAATCCTTTCCAAAAAACCTATTGACTTTGGGATAAGAGAACCAAAACTGCTAAACTGTCCTAAAAAAAAACCTGCTTAAACCAGCCTAAGATGGTTGGCTGCTTTTGCCCGGTTTCAAGCTATTTCCAGTCTGGTTTTAGCTGGTCATGCTGAAAAATGACCACCCAGGAAGGAGGCAACATTCTCACGACCTTGTGCAACGTTCCATAAAAGGTCCCCAAAGGTAATGAAAGTCCAGAACTTTTACAGAACATTAGGGATGTTCTCAAAACGTTCTCTTTTAGTCATTAAAAACGTTCCAAGTGTGACTTTAGGGGGAAGTTCTGTTTTGGTCCTGCTATGGTTACATAATGACATTACAAAGAGAACAATTCTAACATTAACAGACATTTTCACATGGTCCTCCTTTAGTAATATAATAAAGTTTCCAGTATGACTTAAGGAGGACATTCGGTTTTGGTCATTCTATGGTCATATAATAACGTTACAAGAGAACCTTTCTGACATTAACA